AAATGTCAGAAACGTATACGAGGTTTCTACAATTAGTATAATTTGTTAATTAGCCAAAATTCTAGCAAAAGGCAAGCAAATGCCCCTTATTTTTCCATTCTGATGCATGGAAAAATAAGGGAGCATTGTGCAAATAAATAAAAAAAATTCACTTTATATAGTTCGTTGTGACAGCCAGGCTTATCCCCGCCTTTGTATGAGTTTGATTACAATGGACATAACCTATTCCCTCCGAACCCCAAATTTTGAATTATAACATTCAACCAAAACTTCTCAAACTCCTAGGCTCCGTCATACAAATACACATTGAGTATTAGATTTTTTTTCGCCCTTCAAGCATCGAACGCTAAGATATATAGTTTATTCTTCCACCTTCTAACATGAATTTTTAGCTATATGAATTGAAATTGTGCAAACATAATTTCATTATTTTTATGTGTTAAAAATTTAGAAAAATAAATTGATGAGTAGTACAAAAGATTATTTTATCCCCTCCTTTGTTTGAGTTCTGATTACAAAAGACAAACTGTATTCCCTCCAAACCCCAAATTTTATTTAAAGCAGTCCTCCCTTCACAGTTACTGAGCATTGTGTCTGCTGTGTTTGAGACAAATAAAGTGAGGCGGTGTAGCGGAGGAGATTAAAATTTTGAGAATGGCTTCATCCTCGTCTGCAGGCTCCGTCAATAGTACGCTATGGCTGACATTATTTTACCATTGTGGTCGTAGCTGTGCAGTTCGTGTTGTTTGGAATTCTGAAGCAAATAGGGGCTGCCACTACTATCGGTGCGTTAACGCCTAGGTAAGTGAATCGCTATAACTGTTGCGTAGATAAAATTTCGATTTTTCAGATACTTCTTGTCGCGCCCCATTTTTGGAAATAAAGAAAAATAAATTAATAGTTTAAAAAGTGAATTTTAATTCAATTTTCGATTGAAAAAATGATTTTTGATTTAAAAAGAAAATGAAGAACATGGGTCTAAATGGGACTTCAAAATGCGACGATTTGACCCAAAATAATAGTTTAAAAAGGGTTTTTGAATAAAAAATCAGAGTCACCACTTGGTATTGAGTTGAGATGTACCAAGTCACCTAAAAATGAATTTTCAAAGAAAAAATAGAAAAACCCTTTTTAAACGACCCCAAGTCTACGAAAATCAGAGAAAAAGATTTGGGAGTCACATTTGAAGAAAGGGAAGGCAAGGATAAGAATCCAAGGCACCCTTTCAACCTAGCCAAGGCTAGTTGCGCGATTTAGTCAAAAATTTTCTTATTTTAACCTAAAGATTTATCATATTTGGATACACTATATGAATACAAACCCTAGACCTAAGAGGGTATCGGGGGGTCAAAATATCTCTACAAAACTTAATAGGTGCAACGGTGGAATTGGAGTTGGGGCCATGGAAGGGATGGTGCAGTCTCATGGCCAGTCAAATGGATGACTTTGACTTGATCCTTGGCAAGGACTTCATGGTTGCGAACAGGATCTATCCAATTCCCCACTTGGATGGCGTCATGGTGGACGATGACGAAAACAATCACATTAATTGTGACGCCTAATAAAGACTCTTCGAAGAAGTCACGAATAATGCTAAAACATAAAACTCTAAAAAAAGGGAAGGAAAATAATAAAAATAATCATAATTATACAAATATACATGTCCTAAAGGAATGCATCATGTCGGGTACGGGGAACTAATGTTCATGGCTCAATTTTCGCTTTAACAGAGGGAATATGAGCGTGTTAAGGTAGAAAGCCAAACTCGTCCATATACCATACTCAAGGGGTGTTTCCCTATCTAATCAAGCAAATGCACTACCCTAATTCTATTTCTTAAATGAAATGCAAGTCTAATGTTATGTTTTCTTACAAAGGGGTAAGGAATATACATAAAAGGGAAAATACGGAATAGGGGATATAAATAGAAGGGAATTTGGGACAAAGGATGTACATATATAAGAAAGTGTCATGCAACATGGTAAAAACCCTAAAAGGTGAAAAACATGCATAAAATGTAGTGATTCACACAAACATGATCTAACGCGTAAACGGTCTCTAAAGGTCTAGCGTTGGACCAGCCCATGTCTATGAATTCCTACTAGCATTGGACTAGTGGAAAATCGAGAAAAAGGTCTCAACTAGCGTTGGACTAGCAAGAAATCGTAAAAAGGGACCACGACTAGCGTTGGACTAATGTGGTGACGACATGTATTTATTATAGTCTAATAAACCAGATAAAGCATAATAAAGCAAATAAACACATAAATCACATAAAGCACATAGGCATGATATCTAGATGCAAGACCCTAAGAAAGCGAGTAACACATAACACACAAGCATGCAAAACATATAAAGCAAATAAAGCCCTAACTATTACACTTGGAGTGGCCTACTACAATCTAAAAGGGGATAAAATGAAGTAAAGCAAGCCTAACTATTACAACTTGGCATTTAAATGCCTTCTAAATGATTAAAATTAAACTAAGATAAAAAATTGGAATAAATAAAACATATAAAGAAATGAAATAAAACATTCAAAAGGCATGCAATTAGACACATAAAGTCACATAAGTGCATATAGAGTCAAATAAAGTCAAAATAAGGGATAGGGTGTACCTCCCTGGAGTTGGAGCCCTAATGAAGTGAAATTACTCATTTACCCTCCAAAATAATAAAAGGGTCAAGACATCATTTTAATGAACAAATGATCACAAAAAATGGAAATAAGTACAAAATTGAATCACTAAAAGCATTTAAATAAGCTAAACAACCCATATTTAACAAATAAAGACCCAATTGCTACGCTTAAGCCACAAAACGCCAAAAATTCCACATAAAATCAAATTAACACCATAAATCTAGAAAAAAAGTTACTAAACCTTCAAATTCATCCTAAAACTCATGCATATTCTGTTCAATAATCGCAATGAAGGCACATAAAAGCGAGAAAATATTTTAAAGGACAAAATTGATGAACTTTTACGATTTTATGGGCCATAGTGGCATGAGGAGAAACATGTGGGGTTGATTTGCAATTCTTGGAAACTCTTTTCATGCAAAGCATGCAAACACTATGATATATTTCTGCAACAAGAAAGTTGAAGCCTCTGATGAGGGCTTTCTACAATCCAAAACAACACAGCCACAACTTCATGCACACAGATTTCGACAAACATCTCAAATCTAAACCCAACGTCGAGTTCTTACTCTAGGGAACAAACTCCTAGCAGAATCACTAAAATGTCAACAAGACTCTCCCATTTTAATTGAAGACAACAGATTTCGGGAAACATAAGAAAGAAGCAACAACAAATTTTGGGAAACACAAGAAAGATGCAATGCTGCAAGAAAATTTCGGGAAACAAGACTCTCCCAGTTTTTGAACAACAAATGCTTTCTGCAATTCTTATGCAGAAATCTCACACGGAAATTCAGACAAGACCAACTGACCTATCATCCAAATATTCCTTGACAACACTGAGCACTTCAATTAACAAGTGAACTCAGGGTTATTGCCTAGAAACACAAGCTTCAACAAAACATACCTTGCGGCCAAACAATGACAACCAAATAGAAACTGAAGTAAATAAAGTTTCAAAGCTGCAACTCTAAACCAACAAACCAGAAGTTCATGCAAAGTAACATAAAACTGGATAGATTTAACTTAAGTATTTCCATAAGATGCAACAAAACAACACAACCAAGTGCCATGAATACTTGCCGAAATCTTAAACCCTAGCCCTTAAAGACATCAGACCCAAACCTGAAAATGAATACCAAATGCATGGTTAATATTCAGGTCCCTTCCAGTTTCAAAATGCATTCACAAGAAAGCAATCTTCGTCACTGATTTGTTTTTACAATTTTTGCAGGTGAACTGATAGCATGCGATAATCTTAACCTGGAAAACAATCCCAAATATTCATCAAACTTCCTAAACCTATCACCGAATTCTGATATGGTATGAAATAGGTAATGAGATTATGAATTTGGTACCAACCGATTTCGCATTCAAATTCGGTAATTGAAATAAGGTACCGCATTACCGCATTCGAATACCAAATTGGTATATAAAATTATATAATATATAGATAAATGTTATTTAATATTAGTATATACTACTAATATATTATTATATTATATAGGTAAATGCTATTAATAATAATCACTACAAAAAAAAATATTTTTAGTGACAACAATCTTTGTCAAGAAAAGTTGCGTATGTTGTCAGGAAAAGTTTTCGTGACGCTCATGTCGTCAGAGAAAATTGGTCACCTATACGCCGTCGGCAAAAGGTTTTCCTGACAACTAGTGGAATTCTCGTCAGGAAAAGTTCCATTTTCTGTGACGTGTCATCAAGAAAGGTAATCGTGACGATTCGGTTGTCAGGAAAAGTCCTCATATTCTTGACGAACCTTTGTCAGGAAAGACCCTGAACTTTGTCACTAAATTTTCGATTGTCAAGAAAAGTCATGCATTGAAACTTGCTGGACGTACTTTAATGACAATTCAATGTCATTTTTCCTGACGACAGCTGCATCACTATAATATATTAGTTTCTAATTTCACCATGTAGCATTTTTAAGCCTAGCAATTTTAGTGACAACAAAGTAATAATATCATCTACTAAAACACTCCACCCAATCAAAATATAAAAGTATGCAAGCAAAATATCAACCAAAACTTTACAAATTTCATTAGTAGGCAACCATAATATGTCAAACCACAAAAGTTAACCATGTCAAACATTGACATATCATTACATTCCATGATTTGAAACCAATATAAATATTGCTATTTCTCCCTAGATAACTGCTATATACCTAACATGTGCTAAAATCAAAAGATGGACTTCAATTCCATGGTCAACAAAATACTAGAGATGGATGATATCAAAATAGAGGAATTCTTCAGTATGAGCTAAAAGCAGTCCAAAAGCCAAAAGCAGTCCATAATGTTGAGTTTATCCCAAACTCAAAAGCCAAAAGCCAAAAGTAGTCCCAAACGTTCATCCCAAACCTGTACAATAAAACCAAGAAAAATCTGAAATCAGAGAAACAATAGAATGGCATGGAAAAGATGTATTTTTGTTATGATGCATGGATGATCACTACAAATTGCTTAGGGACCACCTAATCATGAGGACAAGCAATACAAGAATAATTACTATGCTGAAGTAACCAAGTTGTTCCACAATAGTAAGTAACTGCACATAAATGCATTTGTTTCGAATAAAGATCTACAAACTCACCATTACTAGGAAGAACCTCCACACTGCTTCTGTTTCCAAATGAGGAATTCTTGCAGCATTTCTTGTATCCCTTGCTGGCTTTGTACAAGATTTTGGATTTGGGTATCTTGTGCTTGAATTCGCTCCTCATAGCATTGAATCTTCTCCTTGCACTGTTTTAGTTCTTCAAGTAGTGCTCTATTAGCTGAAGATTCGGGTTTGCGAGAAGATTGGGGTGGTATGACCCCCATACCCAACCCTTTGGCACGACCAGCCCTCTTTCCTAGGACATTTTCCATAATTTTAACTTCATTGACAATTTCTCCATTCTCGATGCATTGCCTTCTCTCTTCTTTTAACTCATCCTGTACATATTAGATTCACATAACTCAAAGAGTCATTAAATGTATAATATATATGTAAATGTCATGTTACTAATAAAAAACAAAGTTACTAGAATCAGCCGACTATAGTGAAAATTACATCGAGAGATTTTGCAGTATTATTCACAAATTGGCCATCCTTTTTTATGTGAGCAGCAGTCCAGGCATCAATTGCACTTGGTGGAACCTATTTTATAGCATAAAAGATCACGAGTTAGCTCTAGTTTTCTTCCTAGTATAAATATAAGCCAAAATGGAAATAAAAAATCAGTAATATACCATCTCTTGTGCTCGAACATGATTTGATTTTGAACCGCCAGTGTGCGGATAGGGTAACATGGCACGGTTCTTTGTATTGGCTTCTGATTTTTTCTATTAAATACCAAAAAGATAGTTAGACAAAACATAAAAGGCAACAAAAGAATTAAGATCATGCAAGTAAACAAAACTAGAACCAATCACCTTGAATATAGGATCTTCGAACCAATCACACGTACTTTTCCACTCATCTTGCTCAATCCAGTCATAAGGACATGAGGTAAGTGGATCTTTTCCAGCTACCTTCAACATCTTATAATCTATGTGCATAGTATTCCTCCACTGCCTATAGCTATTCTGAAGCATGTCATCCACATACATTTCCACATTAGGATCAGTTTCCCAATCTTTGAAGTCAAACCATCCCTATAAATTACCATTAAGAAATAGATCATTTTTAGAATTGGTCAAGTCAGCAAAATAAATATTAACACACTAAATGTCATTATAAAAGACAACGGTGTAATCTGGTACCATCAAGCCACCATATAGGTTCTGTTTTTTCTCATTTGGTATGTCATCATATGTGCGTATGTCCTTCAGTGAAGAGAGGTGCCTTACAACATAACCTATACCACTAGCAAGTTGAGCAGCATACTTGATTGGTTTGCAACATCCTTCAGGAAAGACAATTTCCAATGGCTTGCCTCCCTAATATTAACAAATGAAGCATCATTCAGGTATACCCCAATTGAAATTCTAGGAAACTGATTATACAAAAAAAATCTTGAATAGACAGTAATATTATATATGTACACATCCAATTACTGAATGGCATTTACATTAGCTCGTATCATCTTCTCGATAACTTTTCCCGTGGTTGGGCCCCGGCCTTTTTTTTGCTTTCTTTGTTCTGAGAACAATTGTTAAACATTGTAGTTGATGCTTATTATGAATTATCACAAATGCATACATTGAATGGTAATAAGTAAATCATTATTTAGCATTTTCACTTACCATTCGCCAATGCTTGAGTAGGATTACTATTATTTGAATTAATCTGGATATCATCACCTGTGGTAGCTGATTGATGCTCCAAAGTTGAGTTTGAAGTTGGTGGTTGTTCAGAGTGCAAGTTGGTATTGGGTGGGCAGCTTCTCTTCAACCGTTTCCCGGAAGGTGCCATCTGCAATAACACAGTATATGATAAAAAAGGAGTCAAATTAGTAAAATTTTGATGTCAAATTATAAACAGAGATCAAAATTTAAGTTATACCAAAAACTTAACAAAGAGTTAAAACCATGAAAAACATATCAGAAGTAAAACCAATTTGATCAATATTGGGTAAAACCACAAAAAGTAACACTTTCTTCTACAATGCCAAAAACCTTTTCACTTGACACTTCTATGCTATTTCTTAAGCACTATCTAAATCTATATCCATGTCAATGGTTTCATCACTATCAGAAGATTCAATAAGCATGCCATCTTCTTTAAAAACATTGTCTTCTTCACCATACTCTTCTTCACCAGTGAAAGTATGCAAAGGATTCTCCAGAACAACTTCAATTTCAACACCTTGTCTGCTTAAGAGGCCTAGTTCATCATCTTCGACAATAGGCAGAACAGTTCTTGTTTCATTTTGCTGCAATAATTCATCTAAAAAACTTGTATCTGCATTGAGCACATCTCCATCGTTCTCTTCCAAATCTGGTAGGTTCCACAAATGCCTATGTTGAACACGTTGTACAATTCGCCAATGTCTCCCCAACTTTGTATCACCAATATAGAAGACTTGCTGGACTTGATTTGGTAAAACAAATGGATCATTTTGATACCAACGTGATCTAATATCGATGGTCACAAAGTGCCTATCACTCTTTATTGTGTTTGTGCTACCTGTGTTATACCATTCACATTGAAGCAAGACTACCTTGTATGCATGAAAAAAGGTCAGCTCAACCACAGCCTTAACAAAGCCATAAAAGTCAATGTGTTTTCCTTTATGGTCACCCTTAACAACTAAGCCACTATTCTGTGTTGTACGGCAATCATCCCGATCTCTTGTGTGGAAACGAACTTCATTTACAATGCATCCTGAGTAATGCTTTGTCATGAAAGGTATAGGACCATTTGCTAATGCCCACAGCTCTTCAGAAACATCCAATGATTTATCAATGTGTAATTGATTTATCTATAAAATAGAAAACGAGTCTCTATTAGTCAGTTTTCAATAACTAATAAACTTATTTTTATAATATGTATAACTTACATGATCTTTGAACCACTCTGTGAATTGATCTTCATGTCTGCTATCAACATTTTCAGGATGAATCCTTTGCAGCATCTCTTTATGCTTACTGAAATTCAGATTGTATTACCAATATAAAGTAAAATAAACCACAAGAAGTAATATCGAAAATATAAAATTGAAATACATATTGCACTCACATTCTGTACTCTTCTATTTCATCACAGTTATTCAATATAAATTTATGAGCCACATCTAGTTCAACTTGAGATAATTTAGTAGGAGGTGTAACAAGTCCAAATGGGCGAACACTTAGTGAGAAAACCACCAGCTCCTCTGCCTTATCCTGATTATAGTCATAGTTGCGTCTCTTGCGGGTGAATTTTGTTTCAATGCCATGGAGATATTTGGACATGAATGTTAGGCACTCATTTGCAATATATCCTTCTGCAATCGAGCCTTCAGGACGAGCACGATTACGGACATACTTTTTAAGGGATCCAAGATACCTTTTCAAAAGCATGAGTTAATTTTCTATCCAAAACAGAATGTTAAGTAAAATAACAAAATTTGTAGTCAAACAAATAAGGAAGAAGTACCTTTCAAATGGAAACATCCACCTAGGATGTACTGGCCCACCAAGTTTTGCTTCCTTTGGCAAGTGAACAATCAAATGGATCATAATGTCAAAGAAGGCAGGAGGAAAGATTTTTTCCAACTTACATAATATTAATGGAGCATTTTTCTCCAACCTTTCCAAGTCATCCATCTTAAGGGTTTTAGAACACAAATCTCGAAAAAACTCACTTAACTCAAAAATTGCCTCATTGACTTCTTTGCACAAATACCCACGAATGCCGGCTGGAATAAGTCGTTGCAAGAGGGCATGGTAGTCATGTGTTTTAAGTCCCATCAGTTTACCATCTTTAACACACTTGGAAATGTTGGCAGCATACCCATCAGGAAACTTAATTGAACTCAAAAAATCACAAAATCCTTTTCTCTCACTTGAAGACATCACATACAAGGCTGGAGGCTTTGTTTTCCTTGTACCATCATCATGTAAGTGTAGTTCGTGCCTTATTCCCATGTCAAGTAGATCATCACGAGCTTTATTAGTATCTTTTGTCTTATCAGGAATGTTCAACAATGTTGCTACTAAACTTTCACATGTATTTTTAAGGATATGCATCACATCCAGACAATGTCTCATGGAGAGTTTTTCCCAATATGGTAACTCAAAAAATATACTTTTTTTCCTCCAATTACCCTGAATTTTATCAACTCCTTTTTTTCCGAGTAACTGGGTTCTTACCAAACTCACCAAAGACACCAGCCAAGGAATTTAAATGTCTTAAAACCTGTTCTCCAGAAAATTCCTTTGGCCTGGAGCGTGTTTCAATAGTTCCATCAAAATGAGCTTTTTGCTTTCGCCAACGGTGGTCATGGTTCAAAAAGCGACGATGTCCCATGAAACATATTTTGCCTCTTAGTCTTTGTGAAGCAGTATCATCAAGACAACATGGACATGCTTTATACCCACTGGTGCTCCATCCAGACAAATAGCCATATGCAGGGAAATCTGATATAGTCCATAAAATTGCTGCACGCATTTGAAAGTTTTGTCCACTATATGCATCATAAGTGCTGATTCCATGAAATAAATCTTTCAAATCATCTATTGCTGGCCTTAAGAACACATCTAACTCCTTTCCAGGGGCACGTGGACCAGGAATAAGAAGTGATAGTATAAGAAATTCCTTTCTCATAAACTTATATGCAGGCAAATTGTAAGGTACAAGAATAACTGGCCACATGCTATATGAGTTGCTCATGTTACCAAATGGATTGAATCCGTCCGTGGCCAATCCAAGTCTTACATTTCGAGAATCTTTAGCAAAATCAGGATATTGCTTATCAAAATCCTTCCAAGCAATAGAATCAGCCGGATGTCTCATGATACCTTCCTCTTTAACCCGTTTCTCCTCATGCCATCTCATGTCTTCAGCAGTTTTAGAAGACATAAAAAGTCTTTGCAACCTAGCTTTTAATGGAAAGTACCACATCACCTTCTGTGGAACTTTTTTTTTCTTGCCATTATTGACTTTCCATCGTGATTCTTTACAAATAGGACACTTGTCCATCTTTTCATTTTCTTTCCAAAACAATGCACAATCAAATTTGCAAACATCAATTTTTTGATACCCCAAACCAATACCAGATAGAATTTTCATGGCCCCATAAAAACTAGATGGAAGTATTTCTCCTTCTGGTAACACATCTTTTAAAAATTCTAGCATCATGTCAAATGCCTTGTTAGTCATATGGTTCATCACTTTGATATGGAGAAAGGAAACAATGAAACGCAGCAGGGAGTATTTTTTGCATCCCGGGTAAAGTTCTCTTTGTGCATCATTTAACAATTTGTCAAAATTTTTTGAATCCCATTCACTCGATGTCCCTGATTCATGTGCATTTCTCATCTCATCCAATAAATCAGGTAACTCATCAGATTCACCATTTTCATTCATATCAAAGTCATTATATACTGTTTCATTGATGAAATCTGTCTCACCTCCAACACCATTCTCATCAAGGTTATTGTTCTTTCCACTTGACATATAAGAGTGTGCAGAAAATGGTTCCCCATGGAAGACCCAATTTTTATAATACATACAAAAGCCTTTTTCCGATAAATCTGATTCAACTTGAGAAATGCTTTTTCTCTTTGAATTCCTACATCTCCTACAGGGACAAAATAATTTTCCATCCAATCCCATACCATTGGTCTTAGCAAATTCAATAAAATCCTTAAGACCAAACTTATAATGACTTGACAAAATATTTGGATCATTTATCCAGCTCTTATCCATTTCCGATACCTAGACTAAGAAAAGTCTTAACTTACTAAACTCAAGGCATTGTTAAGATGAATAACTCAAAAAGGAGGAAAGACAATTTCTAGCTATAAAAAGATAAAGGAGGCAAAAAGACATAGAATTATTCACAATTTACCTACTTTTTATGGCTTAGTTATGAATTCCAAGCTACTTAGATTATTCACTGATTACATCAAATGCAATACTACTCAATAAAACTGAAAACACATTAGATTATTCACTGATTACACCAAATGGTATACTACTCAATAAAACTAAAAACACATTCCTGATTGTACTATTCTCCTATTGTCTAATTGTATATGCTCTTGTATAGTATATAGAAAACATTAAACATCATAACCCATAACTTGATTTACGCAAATAAGGATGTAAACCATAACATAATTTGCAAGAAACTAGCAGTCATGATAAACACTTTTCATTCTTTATGGTAAGCTACCAAATAACCACATACCTCAAATTATGCAATCTTTTCTCTGGTTGTTCCTTATCTTCTCTATCAAGGTAGTGAGAATGCAGGTCTGTTCTGCTGAATATGAAGAAATACGAAATTAGATATTTCTCTGCTGAGGTAGACTGAAAACTATTTTATTGTGAACAGGATTGACTTTGGATAAGGATCCATATTAAATCATCAAGATTTCTTCTGAAACTTAGAACATTCAAAGATCCATTCCAACTAGCTAGCTAGGTTACTTGGGTTCAGTAATTGATGGCGGGCTAGTTTTTTTTGGAACATGTCAAGTTATGGATTAGGAACTATAGCAAGGAAGACAAACAGTAGTGGTTCAGCCACATTCTATCACTTTTTGTCCAATAGGAGTAATAATCAAGTTGTCCAATAGATAAAGAATTTACAAGTGCTGCACTTCTTTACGTTTCCCTTCTTTTTCCTGCCTACTAATGCTAACTGAAAACTGGCATAAAAAACCTATGGTATAAAACTTGCAAGGATATTATAGTACTTTAGAAAACCAGAAAGAGCCAATGATTGTGAAACTGTTTTTTTTTTTGGATGTTACTCCCTACATTTCTTGCATGGATTTAGTTGGACATGATGGATGTATAGCCGTCCTCTTAACAAAAAGAACCAAAACCTCCCATTCCAACCAAACCTCTAAAACCAGATGGTCCATTTTCACCATAGACTCCAAATACCCAAACCAATAGATAAAAGCCCCTAACAATATAGGCCAGTTGCTGATGCATTTTTCGTCTGGTACAAATTTTTAATGCTCCCCATGACATAATATCAAACTAGCCAACTTCACCATAAATATTTATCCTTGAGATCAGCTCCAAATTTATAAGTAGGGGCCCTTAGCCAAAAAATCTAAAATACACTTGACTGTGTCGCATTATTGCGTGAATTGCTCCCACGTCCTATATTAAATTAGACCTGTGCCAATCTGTCAATGTGACTATTCCCATATTAAAACCCAAACCTCCCAAATTCTGCGAATCTTGAACTAAAAACTGAATTTCAAGTGTATCTGTATCAGAGAAAACAATTTCACTTTTAATCCAAGTTTCCCCTTTTAATCCAATCAGATAATGATGAATAGAAGGCACTGTAAAAATCAAGCCAACGGCTGGAAAATGCTCTTGATATGGGAACTTACAGTCATAGTTAGCCCATCCAATCCTTTGGCCAGCCAAATCATAAACAACAATCTTGTCTTTCAGAACAAGGTCTGCATGAAAGGAAACAAATAATGAAGAAAAATAGGAAACAAATTCCAGTTTCATTCAGACACTTTCATGACAAAACAAGAGGACAAACCAGAAACACTGAACAGGTATCTCTGCCATCACATTGAAGACTCATACTAAATCATCAATCAGAGATGAATCCTTAACAAGGTTTCAGACATTGAAAAATGAAAGAAAATTGTAGTAGATAAAATTGTTGAAAGCCGGTTGCCCATCACATGTATGACAAAAAACTGAAAGACAAATAACAAGGATAAATCAGGAAAAATGTTCGACACAAGACAAGCATCTAGCACACCTAGATGTGAACATTGCACCGTAAGTTTGGATCTACTCTGGAGTTAATCCAACAAATGGCCTGCAGTATAAAGTTCAGCTAATAATAATATCAAGAACGAAGATAACTGGTAAAAGAGACACATTTCGAGGAAGATTTTTGCCAAAATTTTCTGATTTTTTAATGGGCGTTCATCATATAAACCCAACACTTGTTAACAATCACAGAAATTCAGTGCTTTCTTAAGAACGAAAATATCCCTATTCTTGGATGACCAGCGGAAGAGAAAAACCCCATATGGATATTGGTCTCAAATTCAACACGCTTAAAAGTAGAGAGTATCTGGGAATCGTTTGCCGACCTTTCCATCGTTCCCACCCCCAACCTTATAGATTTGTGCATCTGGGGTTGTAAAAAACCATCATTTTGCAATTTACAAGTCATATCTGCCCAATGGGAACTGAACCTGTCAAGGACTCACCTCCAAGAATAGTCAATCCTTGACCCTGAATTTTCCGAAAGCTGATGCACCAGACTGCTGCACCATTCTGCCAAAAACGAGCTAGCAAATCAATTTTATATGTACATGTGCAGAATTCTCAACTCTTCACACGCAAGAACAAGTTTTCCAAGAACCGTTCCTTTGTGAACATCAGGGAGATGGGAGCCTATCAAATTTGCGCTAAATTCCTCATTCTCAACCAAAATAATGAAAATAATCAAATTTGAAACTTTAAGGGGCCAAATGAGGTTCTCCAAACAATTTCTGAAAACTTAGATCACAAATGAGTCAATTTTTATGCAGAGAAAATATTTGACACCGAACTTGAACTGATGATCTGTAGGACCGTCATTTCACAGTCAATTAAGGACAAAATTGAAGGGGGATTCGGAGAAAGGGAGCTGATTCAAGACAAAATTGAAGGATTATTTGATTTTTACATCACCTTAGACCATCGTGTTGTCTCTCTTGTTGAAAGAGATGAAGCCAAGTTCAGAGGAGTTCGTTGTTGTTCTCTGTTGTTGGAGATGAAGACAAGCTGAAGATTTGGAGAAAGTGTACTTTGTTGTTGTTGTTCCAAAAGTAGAGATTTGGGAAAAGTGCTTCTTGAATTTCCCGGTGTCTATGTCATAAGGACAAGATGTCCTTCTAAATTCCTTTTCGGTCCAAGAGGGGAAAAAAATTGGTGGGAAAGAAATGGAGGGAGAATGAAAACTTTTCCTGACGAATTGATGTGGGGAAAGTAACTTTAGACAATGAAATAAATAGAAAAACACGTTTAAAGTAGCAGCACCTTTTGATGGATATTTACTTGACGGGTTGTCATAAAAAGCATGGTTTTCCTAACGAAAAGGTTTCTTGTCATGAAAAATTTGTCACGAAAAAAATAATTTTTTGTAGTGAATTAATATATGGTATTATCATTATATCATGTACTTATAATAATAATAATATATAATAATGTACAATATATTATTTTAGTATTTGTTAATTGTTATATGACTATAATAATACAAATATATAGTAATACATAACAATATAAGATATACCAATTTGAGCAGAGGAGGAATTCGTTAGACCCCAGATTCGTTCATCAGTTTCAAAGCTAATGACTTTTCCAAACACAGCTTTAATATCAGATGTTATTCATGGCATTCTAATCAAGTAGAGAACAAAAACAAGCCTGCCAATCGAGCCACAGCTTCAGCAAACAAAGAAAAAAGGAAACTGATATGCCCGAGCTTCTGCAACAAGTCGAAAGATTCAATCTTGTTGCAGCAAAATCTCAATCTAAGGATTCTAGCAGGCGACTTACTTATTACCATGGATCTAGGAACAAGAACAAGAGGCCATACTCACAAGAGAAACATCACATCAGCCATCAAGAACACCGAACAAACTCATGATTCTCATAGTCCCATCATTTATTAATGGAAACTATCTATAAGAAAAGGCGAAAAGAAAGGCTTATAGTGCCGTTTCCGGTAAAGCTCTCGGCAACAATGGTGGCAATGAGTTCCTCTTCCGTGGTTGCCACCAGTTCCAACTCTCTTTTAGCTCTCAGCCTTTTCTTTATTTAGTTTCCTCCTCCCTATTTCCTTGCTTTGGTTCTTTTCTTCGCAGCTTCTCCTTCCCAGATTTCCTGGTTCCCTCGGTCTCTCCTCCGTTACTCTCCAGTCTCTTTTCCCTCTGATTCTCTCCTTTCTTTTGCTTCTGTGTTTAGCCGCCAACAGGTTCTTGGTCTCTCTAAAACCTCCCTTTTGCCGTCATCAGATCCTCCTAAAATTTTCAGCCGTCACACCCTATCTTCTTGTTGCCTTTTTCTCTACCCTAGCCGCCACATCTCCTTCCCTTTTTGTTATTTTCTTTTTATCTTTTCTTTTCCTTCAAATCTTAAGCCTCCAAGTGTCTCAACACCTCACTTTCTAGGTGTTGTGTTGTCAAATACATAAAGGGACACTTGTCTCTATTGCATGTCCCCCACTTGTCATTTTTCATTTTTCTTTTTCTGAACTTTAGTGTTAAAAAAAATGCTTTTAAAAGAAAAGAAAATGATGAATCTTAATGTACCAAAAATAAGAATAAACGCCAGTCACTATTTGCAATATTAAATCAATAAAATAATAAATATGAAACCAAAATAAATAATAATAATAATAAAATAAAATTGAATTAAATAAACAAATAAAGTCAAAATTGAATGAATAAAGCTAAGTAAATAAAGTTTAAATTTGAATTAATGAAATTTTGGTGTCTACTCTTCTATTGCAGAGGTCTTGTCGTACGTTCATTGCCTGGTGTGATGAGTTTGCACGATCAATGGGGTTTCAAGTTCTCGATCTCAACCCCTCAAGTACGAACTCCGTCACCAATACACCTGCACTAGAGGTGTCTAGCATCATAGCAGAACTGAAAAGCATGCAAACCAATGTGATGATCCTTAACATTGTTGTGGTTGCTGTCGTGGCGGTACTCGTAGTTCTAGTTTTGAAATTGTGAAGTGCTATGTTCGTTCTGATTCCATTCCCCCCTCCTATACATTACTCAAATATGGTGTCCTCATGCTGAATGGGCATTTAGCCTAATTTATAGCTTGTTGGCTTTTGTTTGCTAGTATTCTGTCATTGGCTTTTGTCCATCCTTCGTCTGCCGGATAGTGGCGCATGTGTGTTTGCTCACCAACGAACGGAGTGTGTCTGTGTTAATGGTGATATTGCTTGAAATTACACAAGGGAATGGGTTTTTATCACCAGTTTACATTGTGCATTATATTTCCGATCTAAAATTCCTGTTGCCTTTTGCCCCTCAATTGTGTGTGATTATCAGTTAATTCGTAACGTTGAAGTTTGCTTTACTTCATTTAAATAAGTGTGATTCAGCGCTGAAATTCATTATTAAGGCTGTGGCAGTGCTATTAATTGTCAACTTCTACTTAGCCATACAAGTAAACAGCGTCATCTTGTAAAACCAGTTCTCATATACAACAACATTAGTAGGCTTTCAACTTTGAAATCTAATGAGTTCAATTACGAAGTAAGTGCTTACTTCTTAATTTGTTCTCCCAGTTGATCCCCTTACAATATTACCAAATGGTGCACTTATAATTTTTCAGCATTACATATTATTAGCCCTTAACCCCTACCTTTTGTACTGTAACAAGCACAACCAATGATGGTTTGGCCATTGACATAAAGTGTCAGGAACAAAAAACAATCCATCATCAAAATATTTCATAAAAAAATTAAAGCACACTGTTTTAGTTGTGAACGTTCACTCAGACCACTCCACAATAAGACCAAACAGAGGGTTAATGGCGGCAACCGTGATAGCCACCCTAAGAAAGCTGCAGTATTTTTTGCGCCTTACAGTCACCACGAGACTATCAGTTACATCTTTGTGTTCAAAGGTTGTCTCCACAACTGATGGATTCCAGCAAATAGTGGCGGTATGAACGCTGTCTGCAATGGCTACGTTGCAGGTCATATTGGTGTGGTATCCCTGTTCAGCCATAAAGCGAGTTACTGACCAATCTTCAAAGTTGGCTCCGAAGAGCATCCACACGTTGGTATGAAGCAGTGGTTTCAGACCCAGGTAACGTGCAACAAATTCCTCCTTCCCTACAAATCAGGCATTGTAAGTCATAATATAAAATGCCTTAAGGTTGTGCATAATGGAGAGTGGACGACGGCGCCACTTCACTAGTGACTAGAACACTTTCTCGTTGGCAATGGGGTTGCGAACGGGGATGCAAGAGACCAACATGGTTTGTGAAAACTCTTGTCCGGGAAACCTATCCAACCGCACAAGTGCTTCGTTAACAACCCACTTCACTCCTATGTGGTGAAGTGGTAAGTGCTCATCTTGAAAGTAGCCTACCATTCCGCCATTGTTGAGGACATGCATTTTAGGAATTCATCCCAGTGCCATGCCAGGGTCTGCTGGCTGATTAAAAGTGCAAGACAAGGGTTTGCTTCACAGGTTACAAAATACACAAGGAAAGGAAGTTGCGGTCAAGTTAGAGATTTCAGGTGCTAAAGTTCAATCCCCAAGCATATGGAATTGAACGTGTGGTTCAACGGGCATGCAAGAGAGAAGGTTCTTGTGTGAAATTCTTATAGAAGAGGCTACGGTGCATGGACATACAACAAATGGAGGAGGTGACGGTGCAAGGATTGAGAAATTTGAGTCAGCTGCTGCTGGGTCAAATCACTCAGGTTAACAAACTCAATGATTTAGTCCGTCTAACTTAGGTTAGTGGGAAAATGGGTCACAGTTGGTTGGAATAGTTTTTAATAAAAATAAACCCGTTTTCAATAAAACACCAACTCTTTATGACTTTCCTCCATTATAAGAACAAAATACCTATTTTTCCATAAACAATTTTTCTGATCCGATAAAATAAAAATATTGCCGTTTTTCAATAAACCACCAACTCTTTATGGCTTTCCTCCATAAATTATTCAAAAAAAATTTATGGTTCAACTAATGCTTGCAAGAGTATACCCATTGTGCCTCCATTAAAACACCAGCTGTTTATGACTTTCCTCCATTATAAGGACCCATTTTCTCATAACCCAATTGTTTTATCGGATAAAATAAAAATAAATCCATTTTCCAATAAAACACCGGTTATTTATGACTTTCCTCTGTTTTAAGAAAAAAAACGGTTCAACTAATGCTTGCAAGAGAGAAGGTTCTTGTGTGACGTTCTTATAGGAGAGGCTACGGTGCATGGACATACAACAAATGGAAAAATTTTTGGTGCAAGGATTGAGTGATTTGAGTCAGCTGCTGTTGGGTTAATTTTGACTATGGTTAACAAACTCAATGCTTTAGTCCGTCTAACTTAGGTTAGTGGGAAAATGGGTCACAATTGGAAGGTGTTCCGATAATGATAAGTTTAGCGCCAGTGATTCTTGTTGGAGAAGATGCATCACTTGTACCTGTCTGTTCAGTCGGACGGTACTTCCACAGGTTATGAACAGTGTTGCTTGGCTGGTGGCCCACCTCTCAATGTGATTTCCAATCGGATAAGATTTGCACGGTGCATGCAGCAAATTGTCATGGCCCTTGCACCTTCACATGTGTGTAGGGGCTGCAGCGCTGGAGGTTTTCAACGCTAGTCGAAAGGAGGCTTACGCCTGAAGATATATCGATCGATGCCTCAACATGCATCCAAACTCCAGTTAATGTCTCCAGTTATCCAAAGATGCCAGTTAATGTCTTTAACTTGCAGTTAATGTCTTTAAGCCGAATGTATTAATTACTATATTATCCAAAATTTAAAAAATAGTAAAAATATATTAAAATACCTACATAATTTCGCTAGTACCAATTGATTTCATAAATAAGACCTTGAAATTATGTTATCTAACATTGTTAATGTAGCATTAATCAGTAGGTGTTGACTAAAATTAGGTACAATTATAAGGCATGGTTATCTAACTATTATAATGTAGCATTAATGACTAAATAATGCCACAAATTAGGTAAAACCAAACGGCATATGGCTATACATGTAATGTGTAGCCTTGGTTATTAGTCATGTTACTTCTCTAAGATAAGCAATTTGACAATTTTCATTTTTATTGACAATTTTATTTGCTAGTACTTCACATTTGACAGTTGATAGAAGAAAGAAAGAAAGAAAGAAAGACAATTATAAAATGGGTTCTTCATTTTGTTTTGTTTGCAAGACTAGAATGAGCTTTCATTTCATTTTATTTTGTTATGGTCCCAAACGAAGTGATTGTGTAATTTTTAATTTACAAATTGGGGCTCCTAAATTAGCAAAAGCTTTCATTATGCTCGTTAATGATTTAAAAATTAATACTGATTTTTTCCCAAATTTATTCATAATTTAACACATTACATATGT